GCTGGGCTGCTGAGAGCCCGGACGTTGGTTCCCCAGCTCCCACGGTCTGTGGAAGCAGATCGCGTCCACGTTTTCCTCCTGTGGACGAGGACACATTTTGAACAGCACCACATGCCAAACTGAACCCCCGGTCTGAGGTGAGCTGCAGAAATCAACGTATTCAGGGGGCAGTGGGTGAGAGGGGTACCAGGGAAGGCAGGTGAGGTCAGGGGGAAACTCACAAACAAGCAAACGTTCTAGAGCCGACTGTTGATGATATTATATACAATTCGAAAAGATGTCCATTTATATGATTGTAAGAGAGAAGCGGATGAATTTGAGTTGACCCTTTTGCTTTCCTTGCTGTGTGGCCATGGGTAACTTACTCCCCCTCTCTGGGTAATCTGGGGGTTGTCAGCCTCAGGCAAGGATTTCTGCAGAAGTGATAGATGGGTCTGTGTCGAAGGCACCGCCTGACTCCTGGCGTTTGTTAAGCAGTCTGCATGGAAGCAGCTGCCATCGTCATCATCATCGCCATTATTTATTATTGACCCCTATCTTTCACCCCACACCTCAGCGCCCACTGGTGGGAGAACTCTGACATCTCCCTGGTCTGTGTAACAGGGCCTGGGGGCTCTGCCTGTCGGCACAGGTGGAGCAGAGAGGTGCAAAGAGCTTACTCTGAGCCCGGCTGTCCCCAGTGCCACAGCTGATGGCAGAAGATACCTCTGGCAGGGGCAGAGGAGTGGAGGATCCCAAGGGGAGCAGCCTTACCTGACTGGCCAGAGCACAGGGTCCAAACACCAGCCATCACCCCAAGCTGCTGAAAAGAAAGGGGTGCTGCAGTTGGTGGCATCTGAGGCCCCCTCCAAGGGCCTCCTGGGCCTCACCTTGTTAAAGCACCAGACCCACAGGACCCTCTCAGGGTTTCTGGTCGTTGACTCCAGGCCCATCACCGCCAGCTGGTTCTGTGTGGGTCTGAGTATTTACTGCCTGTCTTTATGCCTCAGCTCCCCCATCTGGGAAATGGGGATGATAATCACACGTCCCTCCTTGGGAGAGTTTCACAGATTAAATGAGTCAGTGGAGGTGAAATGTACTGTCCAACGCAGCCAAAGGAATGACTCACTAAGTGTTAACTGTCACAGCGTACCGTTTCACACTGAGAGTCCTTCTCAACTGTCCAGGAGCTCCGGTAGCAGCCCCTCACCCACCAGGGGCTGCCTCCCGCATCTCCAGGTTGTATGGCCTCCCTGGCACTTGGCACAGCCTGAAATTACCATCTCAGTTTATTTCCGTACGTGTTCCTTGCCTGTTGCCCCACCCAGGAGGGCAGTAATTTTTGTCCGTCTTGGTCAGTCTGCGTCCTGTAGGCATTTGGCACCCAGGAGGCACTCAGCCATCAATCTGCTGAGCGATCAAAGGAAAGAAAGAAACGGTTGTGCAGTTCAGCTCCAATTTATGGATGAGGTGATGGCAGCTCAGAGATGTCAAAGAACCTGCCCAAGGACACACAGCCAGAGGTTGGCCCATTTCCAGTAAAGGGCCAGGCGGTAAAGGGCCTGGCAGGTCTCATGCTGTTTCTATTAAATATGCCTTTTTTTTTTTTTACAACACTTTAAACGTGTGTAGGAAGGACCCTTTCCTCCTTTTTTTTCATTATTGCCTCCCTCTAAAGAGCCTTCTTAGACTTTTTCCCCTTAATCACTCCACCCCAGGAAACGTTAATCTCATACATATATTATATATTTATTTATGTGCTATATCTGTAATATCTGTTCTATACATAAAAAGAGCAAAATCCCTCAGCCACTCTATCCCCCTGAAGAACCAGTTTTCGCCACCACTGAGGCTAGATGGTTCTAGATGGGTCTCTCCTGCTCGGCCCTGCCGACACTGGGGCCAGCTCATTCTCTGTGGGGCCGTCCTGAGCGCCGTGGGGAGGGATGGGCAGCCTCCCAGGCCCACACTCGTTGGACGCCAGGAGGATGCCCCAGTCACAACGACCACAGATGTCCCCAGACATCCCAGAACCTTTGTTGCTCGGCAGACACCTTCTTTGAATTGACATCTACCTTGGGAAATAGACTGTCTGAGCTGGGCCTCAGTTTACCCACCTCGTCGATTGGGCTAACTGACGGAGATGGTGCCTTGAGGCGCTTAACACAGTAAAAACTCCTCCGCAGACGAAGGCTGCCCCCTTGGGGACAGCCTTAGGCATTATCCATGCTGGGTACCTCTCTTCAGACCGCAGGAAAGGTGCATTTTAGGGCTAGACTTCTAAGGGGATGGGAGGAAGAAGAATGGTCTGCCATTTCTTGTTTTTCCTCATTTTTCATGGGAACATCCTGAGCAGCTCAGCGCGGCAGAACTTCCCGTGATGGCGGCAATATTCGGCGCCATCCAGCCTGGTCGCCACTGACCCCACGTGGCTATGGAGTATTGAAAGGTGACTGGTACAACCGAAGTCCTGAAAATCTAATTTCAATTTAGCTAGTTTAAATTGAAAGTCACATGTGGCTAGTGGCTGCCTTGCTGGACGGATCTAGGAGCTGAGGAGTTTTCAGGAGCCAAGTGACAGGCCAGCGGTCAGCAGGTGGAGGAGAAAATTTCGAGGTTTCGGCAATGGTTAAAAATAAGAAGGAATAATAATAAGGGAGGACTTCCTGACACCTGCTACAACATGGACGGACCTCAAGGGCACTGTGCTCAGTGACATATGCCAGACACAAAGGGCAGATCCCGTCTGATGCCGCTCCCAGGAGGTCCCTGGAGGAGCCCCATCTGCAGAGACAGAGAGTGGGTGGTGGGGCCGGGGGCTGGGGGAGGGGGTGGGGAGTGAGTGTTTCATGGAGGCAGAGCTTCCATTTGGGAAGATGGAATGTTCTGGAGATGGAGGGCGGGGGTGGCTACACAACAGTGTGTGTGTGCTTAATGACACCAATCTGTATGCTTAGGAACAGAAAAAATGGTAAATTTTACAGCAGAGGAAATCTGAGGCTCAGAGAGGTGATGTGGCTGGTCTGAGGTCCCAGTGTGAATGAGCAATGGGACAAGAACTCCAAACCAGAGCCAGCCACGGGCAGGGCCCTGCGTCTGGATGGACACAAACAACAACCCCCAAGACGGAGACACCATGAGTAATAGTAGAACAAAGTCCCCCTGCCGTTGGTGGAGCGCCAACCACCGTCTCAGGCGCTTGATCGCGTGTGTGGTCACCTGTTCCCTCATGAGCAGCCTCCGAGGCAGTGCCCATTTCACAGAGGAGAGTGACACAGAGCCGCGTGCCAAAGGCCCACAGCCCCGTCTGCCCAATTCCGACTCCCCCCTACAGGGACTCACCCAGGTGTCAGCCAGGCACCGCGGCCTGCTGAATCCGTGTGGGCACCGATTCCGGAAGAGGGTCCTGTGCCCAAGGCCCAGAGCCCAGCGGCCGGCTGCCCAGGCTGGGCCCTTCCCAGTGGAGCGGCCGCTCGTGCCCAGCCTCGCGGCCATCCAAACAGGACTGGCCGGCTCCAAGGGGCCGCTGGCCGCCCGGCTCGCAAACAGCCGCAGGGCGCGGGGCCGAGCCGGGCACCCTCCTCTCGGCCTCTGCCCAGCGCTGCCCAGCCCAGTTGGCCACGGCCAGGGCCACAAAGGCAAGCCAAGGGGGGGATCCGCCACCCACTCTTGCTGTGGATTGGGAGACTGAGGCATGGGGCATTTTCAGTGCTGGCAGCCAGGCGGTGCTCGGCACACGGCATGTGCAGTACCACAGTCACGGGGCCAGGCAGCCGGAGAGGATGGACTAGCATTGCCAGGTTTGTGGTGATCTTAAGGATTTAAGGCAACATATATAGTGAGAACACTACCACTACCCCGTTTCCAGTCATCTCAGGGATTTAACAATAACAACAAACAATAATAGTAATGTGATGAGCAGTGTATGTACTGAGCTCCATATGCCTTAAGTACTTCATAAGTATTACCTCCATGCCACCTCCTGGCGTCCCAGTCAGGTCTGGGCTCTGCTCACGCAATTTGAAAGAGAAAACGAGGCTCAGAATAGTTAAGCCACTTACCTGAGGTCACACAGCAGTCACACCAGGCTTTGGAATGTGGCAGGTGGGAGAGGCCTGATTCCCTTTCTTTGGCATTTGATGGTGATTCCACCACCTTGGCCTTTGACCTGAGCGACAGATGGGTAGAGCTTGGCGCTCCATCTGGCTGGGCTCGGCCATGTGCCCCTTCCCTGGTCCTGGGTGGACAGTGTGGGGGCTGCAGCGGGGGCTGCGGCTAGCCCTCCATCCAGGCTGCCAAAGCCAATAACGCTGAGCTCAGCGTCTGTCTGCTTCGCCAGCCTGCCAAGGAGCTTGATTATTTTTAGATAAGATGGAGAGGCGGGCACCAGGGTGGGAGGGAGCACCCAAGCCGGGTGGACGGGTGGGGGTGTTCCAGCTGCAAACAGATGCCTTCGGCCCCCTCTCCAGACACCCTTAGTGTCAACCCAAGACCAAAGTCTGGTCTCCCAGGACCTCAAGGGCAGAGGCTGCAGGGAGACCGTCCAAGCGTCCAAGAACTCATTTCTCTGGCCTCGGTTTCCCCATCTGTAAAATGGGATCATGCTAACTCCTCCCTCACGGGGTAAGGCAGGATTAAGTGAGATACCCTCTCGTGTCAGGAAGGAGGTGTCCTTTTCACAGATGATGACATGGAGGCTCAGGGAGACGAGGATTCTAACCTACAACTGAGCCAGCCCCTGCACTCAGGTTCCTGCCCCGTGCTTGAGGCCGCATTCCAGCACCCGAATACACTGGCCACCCGTGGGACCTGCGCTGGCGTCTGCAAGTGCCCTGCCAGATGCCCCTGACTCTCCAGGGCAGCAGCCGAGGCAGGGGCCAAGCAGAGACCGCGGGGCCTCGGCACATCGGGGAGCCACCTATCCGCGGCACCGGCCCAGGCTGGTGTTGATGTCCCCTCTCCACCTGGGGTGGGGGTCGGGGTGTTCCTGCAACATCACCAAACCCTCCTTCTCTCTGCAGACGCGGAGCAGAGCGGCAGTCCCCGGGCGGGGATGGGCTCCGACCAGGAGGACAGCAAACCCATCACGCTGGGTGAGTCTGGGAATTTGTGAGGGGGTGCCCGTCGCTGCCTGTGACACAGGGATGACTTGCTTAGCGTCTGCAGTGTGCTCTGTGTTGAGCACCTCACAGATACCGACAGGTTCGTGCCTCAATGGCTGTGCTTCTGCCTGGACAGCAAACTGCTCTCCCTTCAAGGTCCCCCAGGTCTCAGCTCATAGACCGTCCCCTCTCAGTGCCCCCAAGAGCCTCAGCCGCTCTCAGTCGCCACCGTCTGTTTTATTCCTTCCTAGGAAGTTAGCCATTGTGTATGTCTTTGCTTAGTGGCTTGGTGACTGCGTCTGTGTTTGTTCTCTCTCCTAATAGAAAGTGGCCACCTGCTTGGGGGCAGAGGTCCTTGTGTCGCTGTCGTGTCCTCAGTGCCTAGTAGAGAGCCTGGCGCCCTAGAGGTGCTCAATACATATTCGTAGAAAGAAAGGTGGGAGGCAGGAATGTGCAGCAAGGAAAAAAAACCAGAGATGCGATGCCTCAGGGATGCAGAAGAAGCAGGGCTGGCAAGGGAGCAGGAAGAGGCAGGGGCCGAGGGGGCAGCCCCACTGGAAGGCCGGCTCAGGCATCTGCCCACGGGTTCCAAGGCGTTTGCAGGCCCCACGCTAACCGTCCCTGGCCTGTCTCTGGCCTCAGGTTCTCCTTGGCCTCCTGTGATCCCCAGGCGCCTGCCTCCAAGCCAGATGTTCAAGGCAGGCGGGGTGGTGGCGCTCGGCCTGGTCCCGTGGGGTGCTCCAGCGTCTGGTGGAGGAAATCACTTCCTCCCCGCCCTCCAGGGAGTCCCCTGGAGATGGAGAGGCCGGTGCTGCACAAACAGGAAACCCCAGTGGGGGAGGGCGGAGGGGCGTGCTGACACCAGCTGGCTAGCTGGGTTGGCAGGAAACAGCCATGGCCACTTCCCCTGGACACTGGGGGGCCACCGCCCTGTCCCCCCTCCGGCAGCTGTGGCCCTGAACCTCCGCGCATGGGCCCAGCTTAGAGTAATTGCTCAATAAAGGGTGTGCACAAAGGTTGGGACCAGGGAGGCCGGGGTTTCTGGACTGGCCGGGCTTGGGTCTCGGACAGCTGAGAAACTGGGCTGTGGTGAGTTCCCTGTGGCCTGTGCTGCCCCCTGGGGATCTGGGGAGGAACTGCTCCCCTTTGTCCCCCACCCCTGGCTCCCCACAAAGCCCAGAGCCACCCATCTCCACTCTGACTGCCCTCCCCGCCCCTTCTGCTCCAGCCCTGTTGGCTTCCAACTTGTCAAGCACATTTCAACCCCGGGGCCTTTGCACAGACTGTTCCCACTGCCCAGAATATGGAGGCCCTCAGGGAGGTGGTGAAACATCACACTTAGTTCATGCTGATCACAGCAGTCAGCATGCACTTGGAGGGTACTGTGTGCCAAACGCTGTTCCTGGCACTTCCCAAATTTTAATGCCCAGAATTGTCTTACCCACCCCTACCCTGAGGTCTGGGTGCGATGTCACCTTTGCAGTGAAGCCTTCTCTGAGCTCTTTGGGCAAAATAGGTCCCCTGCCCAGCAGCTTCCCCTGACCCTAGCTGCCTTACTAGCCCTGACTCACAAACACCACGTTTGACTTCATGACCTTTAAAAAAACTTCTTAAATTGTGGTAAAATACACATAACCTAATTTGTCTGTGGCTTCACCTGTTGTGGACGTCCCACACAAATGGGGTCACATGCCATGCGGCTTCGTGTGTCTGGAGTGTCTCTGAGCACCGCGTGTTCAGGGGCCATCCACGTGTAGCCCGTGTCAGGGATCTCCTTTTCATGGCTGCATGACGCTCCCGTGTGACCGGATGTTTGGGCTGTTTCCACTTGGGGCTGTCATCCATCATGTTGCTGTGGGCACGGGTGTACATCTTTTGACTTCTTGATCTTGTGTGGTGCCTGCTGCCCACACTGGACTGAGGCTCAAGGGGACAAGCAACTCTGCCTGCCCCCTGCTGTGTCCCCAGTGACCAGCTCAGCCCCAGACACTGGAGGTGCTCCCTCGATGCTTTTTGAGTTGAGGGGGCCTACCCGTGAGGTCTCCAGGGGGCAGAACAGGCCTGCTCCCAGCCCTGCAAAGTTGGCCGGGGCCCCTGCCTTCTCGTTGGCAAGCCTTGGTTTCCAAAGCCATAAAATGGGCCCAACCACCCCCAGTCAAGGGAGGAGGGTCCCTCTTCCTTTGACATGAGGCAGGGTGGTTCTGGGGACACTGCGGATTTGAACTGCTGCCCTGCCAGCTGCCCCTCCATTCAGCCTGGGGGTGAGCCCCCGCTGTTTGACAGGCTCTGGTGTAGTCACCACAGGGCTTGGGCAGACAGAGGCCCCTGCCCTCAAGGAGCTTCCAGTCTGGAGGGAGAGGGATAAGGAGCCCCGGCCCAGCCCGGGGGTAACCGATACAGAGAAGGCAAGCCAGCCCCTCCTGGGAGTCTGATTCAAACCCCAACTGCACCCAGATGTCAGGGTGTGCAGTTCCGTTGTTTGGAGATTAGGGAGCATGGGGGCTTGCTGTTAGAGAGGGGAAGGGACTTGTCTGAGATCACATGACGAGTGGGGGGGGGCCTGTCCGAGATCTGAACCTGGGTCGGGCCTCCGCTTGCATCCTGCTACGGCGTGGGGGCCCAGGATGAAGGCAAGGCTGGGCCACCATGGGACCCTCCCCCTGCAAAAGGGGGTGACTGGCTGAGGCGGGAGAAGAAAGGGTTGAGGAGGGACTCGGAAAAGAGCATCTGCTCCTGCCATGGAAGGGCAGAGGGGCTGCAGGGGGTGGACAGGGCAACCACCCAGGCTGGGTCCAGCCCCAGAGCCTGGGCAGCCCAGGGAGTCCAGGAAGCAGACAGACCCGCTGACCCCAGTTCTCTCCCTGTTCCAGACACGACTGACTTCCAGGAGAGCTTTGTCACCTCCGGTGTGTTCAGCGTCACTGAGCTCATCCAAGTGTCCCGGAGTGAGTGTCCCCGGCCAGCCCCGCGCTGGGACCCAGAGAGGGGAGGGACTCACACGGGGGAGGAGCGTCAGAGAGGGAAAGGGTCTTGGAAGAGGAAGGAGCCCATGCTCTGCCCCACTCCCCCCGCCTCATCCTCTGCAGCCATGCGGTCACCACCACCCTAGGCTCTTATCCAGGCCTTTCCCAGAGCCTGAGGGCAGAGTGACCTAGTTTCCTCCCCAGGAAACAGACCCCACATGCGGCATGAGGGTGCCGAGAAATCTCCGACCCAGCATCCCTCCGTCCTGGGGCATCCCCAGCCCCCGGGAGGAGAGCCCAGAGAGCTCCTGTCCCTTCACTGTCCGCGTGGACCTGCTGGGGACCCACCCCACTCCCCCAGACACCCCCGTCGGAATCCCACCCAGGGAGTTCCAGACACTGCCCGCCTTAACCACACCATTGCCCTCCCTGTCCAGATCAACAGGCACCAGCCTCCAGGAGTGCTGTGAAGCTTGGCCTCCAGCTCAGTTGTGCCTCTGCCTCTCATAACCTTGGCCTCTCTGGATGACCTCAGTCTGATCCATAGAATAAGGCCAGTTTCAGCCAAATTAGGAACTAGGCCAGTTTGGGAAGGGGGCTCCCTTCCCACTGCTGGCTCCCAGATGGCTTCCCATCCTTCTAACTGCAGCCCCAGATCTTGGTCCCTCCCTAACTCTGCTCTGTCGCCCTACAGCACCTGTGGTGACTGGAACAGGACCCAACTTTTCCCTGGGGGAGCTGCAGGGGCACCTGGCATATGATCTGAATCCAGCCAGCACTGGCATGCGAAGAACACTACCCAGCACTTCCTCCAGCGGGTATGTGTCTGGGGCCCCACCTCTGGGCATTTCACAGCCCTTACCCACCTCCATCTGATCCCAGCTGCTTCATTCCTCTCCTGGGAATGACTGTTTCCATGTTGCACTTGGTAAACTCCTACTCATCCTTCAAAACCCAGCCCCACGTATCTCTCTCCCTAGTCCCCACACTCCACTCAGGGCTCCCGCAGCCTCGGGTAATATGGACCCAGCCCCTGAGATGCCACGGGGATGCAGATACCGGTTCCCGCTGAGATGGGCTGTGTGACCTGAGCTTGCACATCGTGTTTGCCTCGGTTTCCGCATCTGTAAAGTGGGGCCATAATCCTAGCGGGTTGTTCTGTCGATTACATTAGGCCAAGTGATTGCCCAGGCCTCCAGGGTTTTAGTCTGCACCCTGCTGGCTCTCTGTGTGACCTCGGCTGAGCCCCACCCTTTCGAGCCCGGGGGTCTCACCCCAGCAGCGGGCAAGTTCTCACAGGTGTTACTGAGAGCCCGCGGGAAGTCCGCGGCTCTTGTGCCGTCTCGCGATAGCGCACTTCTCGCCCGACCCACAAGAGGCCGGAAGTTAGCAACGCCTCCCGACAGCGCCGCGTCTTTCTGGTAACCCGCCCTCGCTCTCCTTCCCTCCCTTTAGGAGCAAGCGGCACAAATCGGGCTCAATGGAGGAAGACGTGGACACAAGCCCCGGCGGCGACTACTACACCTCGCCCAGCTCGCCCACGAGTAGCAGCCGCAACTGGACGGAGGACATGGAAGGAGGTGGGGCTGGCGGCGAGGGTGGAGCCGGCCTTCCGGTGGTGGTTCCCGCAGCGGGGACTCCGTGTTCCGGCAGGCACTGCGCGGGCACCGGAGAGAGGGAAGCCGTCCTGGAGCCGCGGGGCCTCCTGGGAATTGTAGTCGCGTGAGCAGCGCTCTTTTGGGATGTCCGGGTTCACGTTCCTGGAGCTATTTGGTTCCGCTTAGAGTAGGGAGGGCGGAGGACACGTTTTGCCCTGCGCCCGCCCCCTCTGGTGTTTGATCCACAGAATTGACTTAGTAGCGATTCTCATAAACGAGGAGTTTCTTCCTGGGGCCTGCCGTAGACCCTGAGCGTCCCCGCTGGTGGGTCCTGAGATGTGGGGTCCCGTCTCTCTGGGGTCTTCCCTGGAGTCCTTTTGACGAGTTCCCCTCTCCCTGGGGTCTTTCTCTGTGGGGTTCCAGTTCCGTAGCACCCCGTGTCTTTTCCTCTAGCGTCCTTTTAGGATAGATTTTGTTCTGTTTCACCTCTGTCTTCATAGGGTCCAGAGAATGGGGTACTCATGGGGTTCCTAGCATACAGGGTCAGCAGTCCCACAGGGAGGGTCTCGTTTCTAGTGACCGCCAGCCCCTGGGGATACTGTTTACTTCCCATCTCCCCAAGGGCTTTCCCCAGAGATTTCCCTTCCTTGGGGTTCCCCTCTCCACCACGGTCTTATCTGAAGAGCCGCTTCGGCCTTCAGGTTCTGCTGTCCTGCAGCCAGCATCTGTGAGACGGAGGCAGTGGTATGCAGCGTGGCGTGCCCGCTTGCCTTACACTGGCGAGGGCGTCAGGTTCCCAGCGGGGTCTGTGTGCCCCCAGCAGCCCTCTCTCAAGACCCTTATCCCTTATCAATAGTTCACCCAACAGCGTAGTTAATATGAATGCGGGCTCAAGGCCACAGCTTCTGGTGACCCTGCCTGTCTCAATTGCAGTTTCCTCCTCTGTAAAAAGGGGGTGTTAATCCTGCAGTACCCATCTCATAGGCTTGTGGTGGGGATTGAGTGAATACATTTGACAGCCCTAAAACAGGCCTGGCGTATAATAAGCACCCAGTAAACCTTAGGATTTCTTTTCTTCCCTCCTTGTCTTCATTCTTCCCACCTTCCACCCCCCATCGCTGTAGGATTCGCTTTCTTATAAAGATCTGTCTCTACAAGGTGCTGTGCCTACAGGATTCTTGAAGAGCAGTGTAAGGTTACAATTAAGTGGCCAGGTTCAGGCATTGGAGGGACCTGGGTTTGAAATCCAGCTGTGTCATTGACTCGCTATGTGGGCTGTGTAAATGTGGGCAGGTGACTTAACCTCTCTGGTCCTCAGTTTCCTCATCTCCACAATGGGAGTTTCAAGTTTGATTGTGAGAAACAGAAAACCCAAAAGGACAGCACATTTATCTTACAAGTAAATGTCCAGCCATCCACAGCCCTGGGCAGGTATGTAAGGGAATTAGTCTCCTGTCTTAACGCTCTGCCTCCATGAGGTGGTTTTCATTCCCACCTCATGGTCCAGAAAAACTGCTGCAGCTCCAGCCATCATGTCTGTATTCCAGCTAGAAAGAAAAAAGAAGGATCTAGTCTGGGCATGTCCTCTCCCATTAAGGTGCACCTGTTGTGCTTTCCTCTATATCCCTGAGTCGGTCATGTGGCCTTGCTATGCTTCAAGGAACACTGAGAAACATAGTCATATTTTGGGCAATTATATGCCCATCTCAAATTCAAGGTTTGTCACTAAGGAGGAGAGTAGAGCAGATATTGGGAGACGATTAACGTCTGCCCTGCCATTTACTGATGGGGGAACGCAGAAGCACCTCATTCACTGTGATCGGAGAGGCTGCCTGCATATAAAGTGCACGCTGTTTACAGCTGAAAGAGCCTCTGCTGGAGCCACAGCAGCCGTGAAGGGGAAAATTACAGCCTTACGTGTATTGAGAAGAAAAAGGTTGGAAGTGAAGAACCTAGCATTTAATTCAAGGTGCTCAAAAAATAAAAAATCTTGAAAGGGCGGAGTCACTGCCCCTGGGTCTAAGCATCCTGCCTGAGGGGGAAGTGGCCGCCGCAGCCAAGGGCGCGGGCGGGCGGGGAGGAGCCCAGAGCAGCTGCAGGGTTGCAGGGACTCACAGCTGGAGGGCAGCGTCGCCGGGGCCTGTCCCCTCTGCTTCCATTGGTGGTTTCAGGGGATGGCAGACCCTGTCCCTCCCCTGGGAGCCTCAGCAGAAGCCCCCTCTGTAGGCCCGTCCCTGCCCTCTAGGGGTGCACAGCCCGGGAGAGAGAGGGATTCTGATCCCTCCCGCCCCTCCCTCTTTCCCCCTCCCACCTCCCCGGCTTCCTCCAGCTTCCTGTCTAGACAGCCCCCAATTAGCTGCTCATTAAGGAGTTTAAGCTGATTAGAGCACTCTCCCTCTGTGGCTCAGTTGAACCGTGCCCCCACACTCCCCACCTGGGAGGGGCAGAGGGCTGCAGAGATCACGTCAGCCCCACCCAGGCAGGATCCCTGCAGCCACATCTCTGAGGGCCCACAGGCTTCCTCCAGGCCTTTGTACCCTCCTGGCCACCTCCTCCAGGAGCCTTCCCTGATCACCTGCCCAAGCAGAGCTGAAAGAGGGCAGGCTGTGCTCCGCCCCCAGAGTGCTTTTCCCTGCTGCTGCTGCGGCCTTCCCTTACGACGCAGGACCCCAACAGGCAGTTACTATGTGAGGGGAGGGAGGCACCACCCACCTCTCTGTCCCCATCTTTTCATAAACCTGGGGGCAGGAGGGGGCAGCACGGCCTATGGAGTTGCAGAAATGGGCTTGAATCCCCCATTTTGGCTCTGTGGCCTTGGGCATGTGACTTCCCCCATCAGGCCTGTCTCCACCCCTGTGAGCTGTAGGGACTTCTGTGACCCCACTATTTGTGGGAATGACCTGGGAGCAGGCACAGATGTGCCCTGCCCAAGTCCTTGCAGAGGGTCTTAGCCAGGGCACATGGGGCACATGGGGCACACGGGGACACCTGCAGTCTCACACTGGGGAATCTCCTGGCATCAGCTGGGTGGGGCCAGGGAGGCCGCTCAGCCCCCAGTGCCAGGATGGCCCCCCAGAGAGTGACACGCCTGCGTGTGTGGCCCGTGAGTGCTGGCTGTTCTATCAAAGCCACGCACTCCATCCAGACACCTTTCCACCCCACCCTGTGTTAGAGGGCCCCTGAGACCCTGCGGGTGGCCAGAGGAGGGCCCTCCCAGCGGAGATGGCGTTTATCAGGAGGGACTTGTTTGTGGGAGGGACTCAGGTTGGGGACACGCAGGCCTGCTCGTGAGCTACGGACTCTGCTCAGATGGGTGCCAGCCAGGATGCGTGATCAGCGGGCAGGACACCCCTTGGGGGCCCGCAGGCGTGTGCTCATCAGAGGTGTATGTCTCTGATTGGGACAGACGGGGGGTGTGGCTGGGGATGCAGAGGTGCGTGTGTGGAGAAGGCGGGCTGCTCCGACAGGGTGTGCGGACCTTGTCCTGACCGGATGGCAGCTGCTCGCATGGGGCCATCGCAGGCATGTCTGTTGGACAAGCAGGGGCACGGGGTGCGGGGATGCACCCTTGGGACCCTCTGGGGGCACTTAGCGTTCTTCCTTGAAAGGCACAGGCCGGGCTGTCCCCGCCCCCTGCCTGGGGCTCCCGCAGGCCTGGGTCTGGGAGCTCCGGGAGGGCCTGGAGATGGGCGGGTGGGCAGGGGGTGCTGGGCTATTTCCACCCAGGACAGGCTGTTCTAGGAAGTCCTCCTGAGCGAGCACCTGGCAGCCCAGCCCCATTCCATGCGGCAGCCCCCAGCCAGCTGGGAGCCTTCGCCCTCCTGCACAGATCACATGTCGCCTGCAGGGCCGGCCGCACCCCCCTGCAGGCCACCGGCTCGGGTTCCCCAGGGAGCCCGACCCTCTGCTCCCAAGGCCCAGCTGCAGCCCAGCTCAGCCCCCGGGCTCCCGGCCCTGCTGACCCACGTCCCGGGGTGGCTCGCTTCCAGCCTGGCTGAGGGCAGAGAGGGCAGCAGGGTTCGTTAAGAGGAACAGCAGCGGATGGCGCAGTGGCTGTCCGGGAGGCTGGCTCCCTGGTGTGGTTCCCCGCAGCCGTGGGGGCCCCCTCCATGAACATGCCCCTGGTGGGGGGAGGGATGCAGCAGTGTTGCTGGGAGAAGAAAACACATGGGGGGCACCGTGGGGGCCCTGCACAGGTGCCTGCCCCCCAGAACGCGGCCACAGGCCTCTCAGCAGGCAGGATTCTAACCAGGCAGTCCTGCCCCTGGGGGACCCTGGGCCACAGCTGGACATTTGTGGTTGTAACAGCTGGGAGCTCCTGACATCATCTGGAGGTACCAGAGGTGGGGGCCTGAGCTCCACCCAGTGCCCAGGACAGCCCCCCCAGGGACCGAGCCGCCTGAATGTCCCCGTGGGGAGGCAGACCTGGAGAGGGGAGCTGGTGCCCACACGGGGCCCAGCCCCCCACCGAGGTTGAGTGGCCATTTCACCCTAGGATACATTTTTTTAATAGTTTCTAAACATGCCCATGTTTCTAAACAGGCCACACTTCCCTGAGATTGCAGGTTCCTGGATGGGTCTGGCTGGGACTGTGCCATTTTTCAGGCGCGTTGCCATCCTTAGCACTGGCATCTGGGTGGGTGGGCTGCACGGCAGGGGCCGCTCGGGGAACCTGGCACCGGGACGCCTTCCTGAGCCACCGTCCATTCTGTGCCAGGGTCTTGGCGAAGCCCGTACGTGCCCCCCACCTGCCAAGGCACGGCAGCAAGTCCTTCCCAGGCCGGTGGGTCTCAGGCCCTGGTCCAGGCTGTGCACGCTTTCAGTGGCCCTGCAGGGAAGACTGTGTCCGTGGCGCACACGCAAAGGGCCCCGCGGGCTCGTCCCTGTCCTCCTGCTGCCCCCACCCTCAGGGCTCTGGTGACCCCGGGGCACGGGAGGGTGGGAGCCGGGCTGTGGCATTGAGGGAACCCAGTGACAGCCGTCCTCAGACCATGGCCCTGTGGCTCCATTTGCTCCTCTCTGCAAGGGGCCCCCGGCCCACCGCCCACAGGTGGCTGGAAGAAGGAGGGGCAGGGGCTGCAGCGGGGAGGTCCCAGGGCCCTGGGAGCAAAGCCGCCCGCCCGCAGGCCCCTGACCCTCTGGCCTCTCCCACACAGGCATCTCGTCCCCAGTGAAGAAGACAGAGATGGACAAGTCGCCTTTCAATAGCCCATCTCCCCAGGACTCCCCCCGCCTCTCCAGCTTCACGCAGCACCACCGGCCTGTCATCGCCGTGCACAGCGGTGAGTGCCGGAGGCCCCCGGGCAGCAGGGCGGCTGGGCCCTCCGATCAGGCCCCTCACAGCTAGGATGGTCCCACCAGCCATCTGACCGCAGGGCCTGCTGCTGCTGCCTCCTGCCAGGCAAGAAAGCCTAGAGGTGCCATAGTGGGGGGCGCCTGGGCCTGCCTCAGTCTCAGGGCCTCAGCTTCCCCTTCCGTACGGCTTCCCCTTCCCTGCACCTGCTCCCCTACGTCCCACTAAAGAGACCTGAGACGGGTGGTCACGGGGAGGTAGGCAAGCCCAACGTGCGGCTAGACACACCCAGGCTGTGCGGTGATGGGTGCACTCCTGTTACCCCATTACTGTAGCATGGTCAGTGCCACTGAGGGCAGACACACACACAGGAAGGGGCAACAGTCAAAAGAGCCAGTTTGGGCCAGGAGTCGGCGAACCAGGCCCTCGGCGGCCTGTTCTGTAAATGAAGTTGTATCCGCACGTGGCCACTCATCCGTTTGTGTACCGGCTGTGGCAGCTTTCAGCTCCTTCGGGGGAGCTGAGCTGTCAGAACTGAGGCCCTGTGGCCTGGAAGGCCCAAAATTCTGTCTGGAGGCTGGGCAGAGGAGGCGGAGTTAGTGCTGACGGACCCCGGCTGCTGCTCAGGGTGCCAGGGGCATTCCAATCCCAAAGCAAACTCACCCAAAGTCCCTGAATTGTTCAGGTCAAGAGAGCAAGTGCTGCGTGGAGCATACAGGGCGGAGCCCGCCGTGCACTGTGCATGGACGGGCCCTGAACCCACAGGGCTCAGTGAGACGCCAGACACACTGGCCACACGGCGCGTGTCCCCGTTTCTGGGACTCGTCCCCATCAGGCACATCCGCAGACAGAGCGTGGGGCCAGACAGCCTGGGCTTGAATCCTGGCTCCACCACCTGCTTGCAGTGTGCCTGGGACAGAGAATATAACCTCTGCAAGCTGTCCCGCCATCCTCTGTTTAGGAGAATATGAGGGATGATACGGGCGCCCCCTGGGATCACAGTGGAAGTCATCGAGGTCAGGCCTCTAAACGATGACGATGCCTGGTCCATGGTCGGGCTCCTGGGTCAGGCCGGGCTGTTACACAGCACCCCACGATGCAGGTGCGGCTCACCCCCACAGTCGCACAGAGATGGTACACTGGCCGCTGCCCCTGCTGACCGCACCCTCCCTCTCCCCTCAGGGATCGCCCGGAGCCCTCACCCATCCTCGACCCTGCACTTCCCCACGACCTCCATCCTGCCCCAGACGGCCTCCACCTACTTCCCGCACACGGCTATCCGCTACCCACCTCACCTCAACCCCCAGGACCCGCTCAAAGATCTCGTCTCACTGGCCTGTGACCCAGCCAGCCAGCAGCCTGGACCGGTGAGTGTGGGGGCACAGGCCTACCTCCATCCTACAGGGCCGCCAGCAGCGACCTCCCTGGGGCCCTGGTGCGTCACTTGGCCTCAGCTCTAAGTGATTTTGCAAACAGAGGCTCCAAAGTCCCCATCTGAGGCTCCGGAGCCGGGCTAGGTCAGGATCAAGGCTTTCTCAGGCGTTGGAACAGACAGCCCGTGTCTGACACAGCGCCCCGTGGTCAGGTCCTGCAGCTGCAGCTCTGGCTGGCTCTCCCCACACTTCCACAAAAAGCTTTTGGTGCTTGGGGATTTTCAGATGCGGAGCTGCGGGTGAGGTGGGGGACGGCTGTGTCCTCGGTGTGCCCGGCAGTGCGCAGAGCACCTGGAGGTCGGCTGTGGCCGGGACGCAGTGGCACGTGGTCCCGGCAGGCCGAAGCCCACGGCTCAGGCCAGTGGGCAGGTGCGGTGCCTCCCGACCTGGTCCCACCCATGTCACGCCCGGCCCGCTGCCCCTCAGGCCCTCCCCTGGCAGGGCGGCAGGTGGCAGCCCGAGGCGCGGGGGCGCCCCCCTAACCACCTGTCTCTCTGTTCCCCCCAGTTAAATGGAAGTGGTCAGCTCAAAATGTCCAGTCACTGCCTTTCTGCTCAGATGCTTGCACCCCCGCCCCCCGGGCTGCCGCGGCTGGCGCTCCCCCCTGCCACCAAATCCGAGGGAGGAAGCACATCGCCAACCTCGCCCTGTAAGCACTCGGGAGGCGGTGCCCGCAGCCGCGCGGTGTCCCTGGGGCCCCTCCCCTCCCCGGCTGCCGGGGCAAGGGGCGAGGCCTGGGTCTGCCCCCACTGGCCGAGTGGCCTGAGCCCCCGGGTGCCCACTCTGGGCCACCAAGTCCCTCTGTGCAAGTAAACACAGATCTCAGACTGGGGCCTGAAAGCCAGACCCGGCCCCATCGTGTCTTTGTGGGAAATGAGAATCTGTTTTTGTTCTAAGGTTAGAACTTTTTGCATAAAATTCCAGAATTCTGGATTCTTGGGAAATAATAGCTAGAGTGGGCCCTGTTCCTGCCAGTGACCTGAGCTGGGCCACACCTTTAGGCAAGACAGGTTCCACTGCTCCCAGAAGGCCCTGGGTCGGCCACCTCTCCTTCTGAACGGTTCACCCTCTAGCCATGGCTCAGATCGCAGCTCCCTGGCCCCTGGTGCCCCCTGTCCAGTGCTGCTGCAGGCTGGGAAGCAGCTCCGCGCGCCCCAGTCCTGGGGCCTGCCCCGTGGAGTGTGGCTCCGTATGTACTCAGCCTGCCCTTGGAGACCAGTGCAGGCTTGAGGGGGCCAACCCCTCTCCTCTGGGCTGCCTGCCCTCTACACGCAGGGCAGCCTGCACTCCTAAGGCCAAGCTGGCCCAGTCGGTGGCCCTGAGAGCCCCCTGACCTCGCCCTGCCATCTCAGTCTGCCCCTTGTGCCCTTCATAAGCATCTCTCTCCCTCACTCCCCCTAACACAAGCCAGAGGGGACAGTTCCCTCTGGGCCCCTCAGCACCCCTTTGCTGCGTGCAGTGTCCCTGCCCCAGCACTCTACCACCCAAGACCTATGGTGGCTTTGCGTGCAGATGGGCTTTCTCTAAGTGCCAGAGGCAGTGTGGGGGTGCTGGGTTCAAATCCTGCCTCTGTGGCTCCCTGCCTGTGTGACCTCGGGCAAGTGTTCTCACCTCTCTGAGCCTCCATTTTCTCAGTCGCTGTACCCACGCTGTAGGACATTGGGAGCAAACTGGTAGAATAAATGGGGGGATGTTTAGGGCAGCCTACAGGGCAGGCAGTGAGGAGGAGGTGACACTAGCTGCCCAGCCCTCCACCTACTTTCCCGTCAGTGAAGCAGGCAGTAATTGCATTTTCTGCATTGAGGCCCCAGGAGGGATTTGGGGCTGCGCCCAGTGCCTGGCCCACGGTGGACACTTACTTAGGCAGGACCCCATGGGGCTCTTAACTGCAAGTCCCACCTGCTTCCCCTGGGCAGCCCTAGGCTTCACCACTACCCCCACCCCAGCCGAGACCACCGGGGACCTGTGTGAAGTGCTGTGTCCCCTGCAGCGCTGGGCCTCTAATTAGTCACTCATCCACAAAACGTGGTCAGTGACGTTAAACTACAAATGTGTATGCGCACGTGTGTATACGTGTAGCTGTGAATGACGTATGCAGCACCCGGCCTTCCCCTCGCTCTCCAGGGGGACGATGAGTAACTAAGATGCACTCGGTAATTGGCAGCGCGCAGGTGAGGGCCGCGGGGGCAGGACGGAGCAGGCGGCGGCCTCTGCCCACTGAAGCTTTCACCCCGTGCCTTCCCTCTCCGCAGAAGCCGCCGGTCGGGTCGTGTGGCTGAGACCCATGGCTTTGGGTGCCGGGGGCAAGGCACACTGTGTGGCCCTGGGCCGCGGCCCCCCTCTCCGGGCGCTGGCGCGCCGCCGCCATTGCTAACGGGCTCTCGGTCTCTCTCCCGCAGCCTACTCTGCGCCCGGCGCGCCCCCTGCAAACCGTTCCTTTGTGGGATTAGGACCAAGGGATCCGGCGGGCGTTTATCAGGCACAGGTAGGGGCCGAGGGGCCAGCTGCTGGGGGGGCAGAGGGGCCGGCCTGGGCGCCCTGGGCACAGTGGCTGTTGAGCGTGGCAGGGGCTGCCTCCTGCGCCCGCACAGGGCCTCGAGCCCACGCCCGGGGATGTGGTAGCGACTGCACACCCTGCCCGATGCGGCTCTGCAGGAGACACGCGTGGCTGAGCTGTTGAGGGCTGGGCCCTTTGTGTAGGTGGGGAGACTGAGGCCCCCAGATGTGAGGCTGTCTCCCCAGGACCACACAGCACAGGGGCCCAGCTCTCAGCCGCCAGCCCTTGTCCCTTCCGTGCCTCAGCCAGAGGGCCCGTGCGGGAAGAGGGCCGAGGCCAGGAGATCCCCTGGTAGAGCACATGTGCCCCACCCTGGGTTCCAGCCTGCAAGGTGCAGATGGGGTGCACCGCACGCCCCGTGTTGGGGGATGGGGGCAGGCTGAGATGAGGAGGCTCAGAGAGGAGGAGCCAGGTGCCCAAGGGTGCACAGCAGCCAGGGCAGCGTCCCGACGGGTCCAGAGCTGAGACGTGTGGCTCCCAGCTTCCCTCAGCCCCATTCCCACGTGTCCCCCACACCCACCCTCGGTCGGGTCTGCGTCTGTGCCACCTGCAGGCCAGGAGTGTGTTGGTAGGCAGTGTCCATAGGTGGGGGCTAGACTGTGGAGCCCCCGTCCCCTGGGGGGTGCTGGGGGGGTGTCTCAGCATGAGGGGAGCACCAGTGGCTGCAGGCCCTCCAGGCCTGGCTGCACAGAGAAACCAGCTCAGGCCTTCTCAGCATCTCCAAAGCACCAGAACTGTGGAGCATGGGGATTTGTGGGGTCCCGAGGTCCGTGTTTGGACCCTCCAGCCAGGAGGGTTCCCTGTGGCAGAGTCCACAGGCAGGGGGTGGGGAACAGGGGGAGAGGGGGCCACATCTCCCACCCTGAGGGAGACCAGAATCAGCCACGCTGACTGGGAACCTCCCACCATGGTTTGGCACCTGGGGACGCGCTGAAGCAGGCCTGGTTGCTGCTGGCTGCCCAGGGGTCCGAAGTGTGGGGAGAGGACCCCGCTGTCCCCTCCCTCCCTGCCCAGGCCTCCTCAGCAGGGCTGCTAGGGTTTGGGTCAGGAGACAAGTGGTCACTCCCTGCTGTGCTTCACCCACTCTGAACCTCTGTCTCTTCTTCTGGCTTTGGGCACCTTGCAAGGAATGTTTGAAAGGCCCAGAGCGTTAGGGGACTGATTTCATCTAGAAGGGGCTCTGAAAGACCAAGACTGCCACACCCTCCTGCACGCCCAGCTGTTAAGCACCTGCCTCCCCGAGCTCTGGCCCGGATCCAGACAGAGGGGCCACTGGCCAGCGTCACCCAGCCAGCCTCCCTGCTTTGGGTTTGGGGCCCCCATGCCCCCCTTCTCTAAGGCTGTGCAGACGACCTCCCCAAGTTCTCCGGGAGCCAGGCATTTCTTGTCACACACCCATCCCACCCCCTCCCCTGGGAGGCTGGAGATGTGCTCATTATCTCAGAAACCAAAGCCAGTAAGAATGACAGGGAGGGGCCCTGCCCACCTGACCCCTCCCCAGCCCTCTCATCCCCCGTGACCAGCCCCTGCGTGGGGGGAGGACCGCCCCAGCAAGGCCTGAGGGGGGAAACTGAGGCAGACAAGGCCGAGGCCTGTGCTTCTAGCTGCTCGTCACCGCTCCCTGGCCTCTGGGCCTCGCTGGGGACCCGGAGCAGGTGGGACCCGGAGGGGGTGGGACAGGGCCAGCACGTGGGGACTCGGGGAGGGGCATGCAGGGGCAGAGCAGGATGGGGTGTCTGGACCGGCTCGGGTGACAGAGAAGCAGCCGGAATGTGGCGGGCCTGGAGCTCTGGGGGCTCTGGCCTGGGGTGTGGAGGGCACGGCCAGGCCTGGGAGCTGGGAAGGGCTTTCTGGGGGTGCGAGGGGACCGGGTGGTGGGAAGCTCCCGAGGAGGCCTGGGCTGTGAGCGCGTGGCCCCGCCAGTACTGTGGGACCGCGGGTCCTGGGGGGGGTCCCCAGGTCCGGGCAGGCGCCGCCTCCCTGCAGAGCCACAGGGGGGAGGGGGTGGGGAAGCCGTGGGTGCTGCTGGCCTGGAGCCCCTGCGTGGAGGCTCAGAGCTGGGACCCTCCCTCCAGCCAGGCAGCCCTCCTCTGTCGTCCTTATTCCCGGCGGGTTCGCTGCCTCCGCCCCCTCCACCTCCTGCCCTTCCCAGTCCATGCCCCTCGGGGATGCCCCCAGTCATGTCCCCGCAACTGATCACCTCACCTTCATTCCCCCAGCCCCGTCTCTCACCACCCCAGGCCTGAGCCACTGCCACCCTGGCCCATGTGGGGCTCTGAGGCCACCCGCCCCACCCTGAACGATGCCCCCAGCCCATTGCCACGCCTTCTGCAGGGAGCATGTCCAGTCCCCTCGGCAGAGGAGCCCGCCAAGGGCCGCAGGGGTGAAGCTACGCACTCAAAGACACACTGGTGGCTCCAGCCAGGGCCTCACCCCCGGCACCCGCTGCCTCGGTCTTCCCCTCAGCTGACGGGGGAGCTGTTGAGTGTACCCCCCTTTGCTGGGGCCTGGGAGGGCAGGAGCAGGGAGGAGGGGCTGCACAGGCCGGCCCCCACAGGGAAGGTCATGCCCGGAGTGTCTGGTTGCCAACGGAAACCAGACATGAGGTAATGGCCAAGATGAACTTGAACTTGGCTGGAGGTGGGGGGTTGGGAGCCGAGGCGCCAGTTCTGCAGGATGGCCTGGCATTGGCCACAGGGCCCTGGCTGGAAGGGGGCATGCCATGTTTACAGCAGGGCAGTGCGGGTCTACCTCCGCAGGGACGCTGGGCGCATTTCCAGAGGGAGGGCCTCTCGGCAGCTGCCCCGTGGAGACCTCCCCCCAGCCCCCACCTGGGCCTCCCTGTGAGGTGGGAGGGGGCTCGGGCTGAGGGGTCGGGCCGGCAGGTACCCCCCAGGCCTGAGTTCCAATTCTGCCTCGCCTCTCCCATGCTGGGGGCGCCTGGGCAACTTCCTTGGCTTCTCTGAGCCCATCTTCTTCATTTCAAAGCAGAGTAGGTGGGTACAGTGGTATTCTGGTGGCATCGTCAAATGGTAGGAGAACTGCTTCCCTGGTCCCAGGGCCCACATAGGGTGGTACCCCGCAAGCCGCTGGCTTCCCCCCATGAGCTGAGTACCTGCAGGGTCCCACTTCACCTCCTCCCCGTTTACACTCTGCGCTATGAGGGTCAGTGGCTGCATTGCCAGATTCCGCAAATCAAACTATCAGACGCTCAGTTAGCTTTGGAGTCTAGATAAACAAAGGGCTAAAAAATATTTAATGTGAGTACATCCCAAAAGTCACATGGGACATACTTGTACTAGAAAGTCCCTCTGTCGTTTATCCAGAATTCACGGTCCCCGGGCAGCCTGTTTTATCCCAGGGCTGGGGCAGGGCACGTGGGTGGGCGTGGGCATTGGTGGAGACTGACCCCGATTCTCTCTCTCTCCCTCCGTGTTCCTGTCGGGCCACCCAGTCCTGGTACCTGGGATAAGCAAGACCTCTTCCCAGGCCCTGCGCCTTCGTCCCGGGAACCCCGGGGGGCCGCACAGCCTGCCCCTGGCCCACGATTTCAGTGGAGAGTTAGAAAAAGCAAGGACACCTGCCAACTCCCAGCCTGGCTGAAAAGACAGAAACAGAAACATACACACAGGAGGAAAAAAGGAAAAAAAAGGCAAACAAAAAAACAAAACGACAAAAAAAAGACAAACGGGAAAAAAAACCCATAAAAATAAACCCACCCAACCAAGAAAACAGAAGGTAGAGACAGCAGCATGGCCGCACTTCAGACTCTGGGGACGCCACATCCGGACGGAGGGCCAGGCCTGCCCCCCGGCGCCTTCCCAAGTCACTCATCTCTGCTGCTCCAGAAGGGCAGGCACCGCGCCCACCGCCGCCCGGGACCAGGTGAGCGCTGCCTGGCGGCAGGGCCCCCTCCGGGACGTCGGCCGGCCCCCACGGTGGGCTTCGCCTGGTGGGGAGGTAGGTGCCGCAAGGACCGGGCGGCCAGCACCCCAGCAGTGGCTGGGGTGGGCAGGGGTGTGACGAGGGTGGAAGAGAGTTTTGGGGAGACCCCGGGCGTTGCCAGGGACGAGGCGCGACACGTACCTTCTCGAGAGTGTCCTGCGTGGTGGGACCTGCTCCCGCCCCAAAGCCTGTGTGTCCAGCCGCCTGCCTGGGACTTGGTCTCAGCCCCGTGCCTGCCCTGTTTGGGAGGAAAAGTCTATGCAATTGGCCCCCAGCCCCACCCCGTGGCAGAGGAGGCCACCCCCACTGAACCCCCGCTGCCGGCTCCACAGCCCTGGGGAGGGGGCCACGTTGCACACACTGTAAGAAATGCACTTTCCGAGGAAGGGGCTGTGGGGGGTAGCGGGGAGACCCAGAGCTCCCCAGAGGGGGGCACCCATCTGGATCTCCATCTACTCGAGCCCTAGGAGGGGGGATCCCCCACTTAGCCCCCGGAGGTGGGAGGTGAGCGAGTGGTTCAAGTGCCTGATCCCCACCGCCTGCCCCCCTTGGTCCAGCTGGGATGTGGAGTGGCCACGGGCATCCTCCACCCCCTCCCCAAGACCCAGCCACCTCCAATTACTGACCCCTCATTGCTATGCCCCCCACAAAGCTAGAGAGATGGGACCCCACCCCTGTGGCCCAAGGGGCAGAGCTGGGCAGCCCCCAAGTGCCCTGCCATGCTGGGACCTGGGGTGGGGTCTGGAAAGGCCGGCGGGCCCCCCAAACCTCCTCTGCCAGTGCCTTACATCCTGGAGCGACACCCCCTCCCTGGTGCCTCCCAGCCCAAAGGGAGCCATGGTTTGCACTTTGATCTCCCCCTGAAGTGGGGCACAGCCAGGGAGGCGCATCGCGGCTGGGTGCCCGGAAGGAGAGAAGGCTGGGCCGAGTGTAGTCCCCCCACGTGCCTGGGTGGGGGTTCTGGCAGGGGGGTCCCTGTGGCCCTGTCAGGGATGTCCCATCTGCTAAGCATTTTCCGTTGAGCCGCTCCAAAAACACTAAGCTGGAGACACCGGGTGCCCCCCAGCCCGGCTCCCAGCACCCCCGCTCCCCCCACAAGGGTGGCCATCTGGGGTGGGGGTCCTGCGGTGGGGGCCCCGTGCAGGCGTTCGGGTCACTGGGCCCAAACCCAGGGACCCTACCCCCCAGCCCACCCATCTGAGCCCCAGCCGGCCTCCATGCCTGGCGCTGGGGAGCATCTTCCTCACCACGACCCCACCCCGGCTCAGGCCCGAGCCATGACCCGGGAGAGGGCCACCTCACCGCTCCCAGCCTGGCCAGCCTCCCCCACCCCCCAGAAACCGGACTTTGCTTCCAAACCAACCCGAGAGGCTTGGCGAACCCACTTGATCATGAAGAGAAGGCCCTCCCTGCCAGCCCCACTCCCGTTGTCCGGGGGCATCCGAGAACCCGTGGTCGGTCTGTCCCCAGGGTCCTTCCACTGGGTGGCCCTTGGGGACCAAGGCGTGGCCGCTTTCTGGGAAGGCAGGGGTGCTGGTGGTGGTGCGGCTAGCTGGGTCACCTGGAAGCTTCTCAGCTGGGAACCTGAGGGTGTGGGCAGGCGGGGGAGGGGAGGGGCATGGCCGCCCCAGCTCCCTAACTTTGCATGGTGCTTAGTCGAGGATTCTGTGACCTGGCTCCTGACGTCAGCTCGTGGAGGCTGACACTGCATGGCGAATCACACCTGGCTCTGTCTCCCTGCCCCGTGCCCCCTCCCAGCTCTCCAACACTACCCCCTCCTCTTTAAAAGAAAAAAAAAAAGATACAAAAAAAACCTTTAAAAAAAATTCCATGTTTCCTAATTTGCACGACATTTTCTACCACATGATGTGCCTTGCCTTCCGAAAATAAGTATTACCTTTAAACAATATCAGCGCACACAGATAGCTGCATGCACTGCTCGTGTAGTTAAAAAAAAAAAAAAGACAAAACAGTGACATGAAATAAAACATAGAAATTGAAAAGGGATGTATTTCTATTTGTAAAAAAAAAAAATTTAAAATAAAAATGGAAAATGACACACTAAAAAAAGCAATCCACAGATCCACAGAACAGTTGCCCCCCACCTGCCGCACCCAGCTCTGTCTCCATGGCCCCTGCAGCGTTGGGGGTGCCCCCTGGTGCTCTGCCACCCCCCCCAGCCCCAGCCCTGGGCTCCAGAGGCAGCAGACAGACCTCGGGGATGCACCCTGGCCCCCGCCCCCAGCAAGGGCTTCCGTCCCTGGGCCGCAGGCCAGCCTCCCAGGCCCCATGCATGACTCACATGCGTGTGTCATGGGGCTCCCCACATTGGGTGGCCACCCTGCGACAGCCAGACTACCCCATCCCACATCTCATGCAGGCTGGCATCCCACCCACCCACCCCCCTGGTTCAGGGTCACTCGGGATGGCTCCCCACTCCCCTAGTGCACCCCACTCCTTCTTGCCAAAGGACCCCGTTTTCCCCATCCCCAGAGATAGGCAGCTCCCTCTTGCCCACCCCTTGCCCTGAACACCCAGTTCTGTGTCTTCCAGCTGTGACTATGGAGGGTATCTGGTAGGAAATGAACAGAAAACTCAAACTCGATATATATGCAATATCTGTCTGTCTGTCCTGTAGGCCCAGCTCAGCCACTGGGGGCCTGGCCGGGTGGGGGTGCCGCATCGCAGGCCTCTTGGGAGGTGGCTGGCCATGCTGTTGTCCTTTCCTCTATTTTCCTGTATTTTCCTTTTTCTTTTTTTTTTAATTCCCGTTTCCCTGCTTTTTACTCAACCAAAGCTGAGGTGGTAGCAGACAGCGGGGTGTTGGGGCAGGGACTGCAGAAGGACTGGGTGCACCCACCTCAGGCCACCCCCTTCCGCCACCGCCAGCTCCCACCTGACCCCCAGGCCTCTCCTGGGAGGATCAGCCTATTCCTTCCCCCAGTGCCCCCTGGGACCTCGGAGCTGTCTCCAGAGCCAGGTGGGGCCTCCAGACTGGCCCCAGCTTTTACCCACCACCATCCGCTCATTTCCTTTCTTCCGAAGACACCTCAGTGAGTCCCAAGGGCAGAGGGGGGCCCAGACCGCCAAGCGTGGCCCATAGCAGCTGCCCTTTGGCCCGAAAGCCCATGGCTGTGCCTCTCAGTCAGCACCTGGCTGATCCATTTTATGTTCCACCCCAGGAAGTGGGGAGCAGCCAGTGGCAGAGGGCTTTGCCGGGACCATCCTGTCCCCCCATGGCCCACACACCACGGCTTTGGGCTGTGTGACCTCTGCTCTCGGCAGCCACCGCCCTGGGCTGGTTGCTTGTTTGAATTTTTGGGAAAGCTGCAGGGTCCCCATAGAGCAAAACCCCCAGCAGGCAGATGAAGGCAGATGTACGAGGAACCAGACCCCCTTACCCCGTCTGCAGCTGGGGTTCGTGCCCAGGGAGGTGAAGGGAGGGGACGGGGCGTTGGGTTGTGTGGGGTTTTGTTACACATGTGAAACTGACATCTCAAACCCCAGCCCGCTGTGCCCCGCCCCCTTGTCACCCATCCCCATCTGTGCTAGGCCTCCGGCCGGACCCTGCGCCCAGCGCCTGCTGTGGGAAAGAACAGGGACGCCTCCCAAATATATGCAAATCGCTCCCATGCTCCTCTTGGGTGAGGGCACTAGACACCCACCAGGGTGGAGAGGGAGGCTTAAAGGGACTGGAAGATCCGGCCTTGTCTGACCAGGTTGTTGGGGAGCCACGGTGCCCCCTACCCTGGTCTGAACCCAGGGTCTGGCTGAGTTCTGAGCCCAGAGCCCCAGCCTGAGCTAGACAATCAGACCTGAAAGGAACTCCCAGGGAGACTCGGAGGGGTGGGGCACTGCAGGTCCCCAAGCAACAGACAATTCCAGCCTCCACCCCACACATCCCCTGCTGTGCTCTGGAACCTTCTCTCTGTCCCCAGAGACAGCAGCGCTCCCGGGGCAGGCAGACGTGGCTGGACAGCAGCCAATTAGACAGGCCCCAGGGCTGGGAGTGACCGCCCGGCCCCCCAGCGAGGGCAGCACACCTCCCCACCCTGGCTCACCAACGGTACTTTGACCTCCGGTGTAGGGCTATACGTACATACATACATACATACATACATACATACATATATATATATGTATATGTGTATATATATATATAATTTTGGAATTTCTTATAACACACATTATACCGTGGCTACATTTTATCTTGGCCTGGATTCTGTCTCCATGACCCTTATTCTTACTCTCTTTGGAGGATGTTGGGAGCGGGACCCGTCTTCGGAGCCAGCTTCCTCCCGCATCGTCCCACTGGTCCCCGTTTTTGCCCCTTGGGACACTTCCTGAGAGTCCTGTGTCAGAACAGACGCAGCCTCTCCAGGCAGTTCAGGGCCGCAGGGGCTGAGCTGACCCTGGCAACCCCCCCAGCCCCACCCCGGGAGGCATGGAGCCAGTCTCAGAGCAGCGCCAGCAAGACTGATTGCCCACGATACCAAATCCGACTCCTCAGCAGTGCCTCACACGTCTGCTGGCGTGGCTTTGGGGTTCTCCCTGCTCCCCGGCCTCCCTCAGGAAAGAGGAGGTGGGATCCCCCAGGAATCAGGACTCCGGGAGAGGAAGGCAGTCATTGCCCCCCAAGCACCCTTGCGGTCGCTCCAGAGAGGGGACAGGAGCTGCCTCAGCCCCCCTCCAGTTGGGAACCCCCAAAGTCCACCCCCTACAGTGCATCGACATCCCATCCTCCCATCTCGGGGCCCAGGCAGGCCCCCAAAACCAAAGTCCCTTCAAGCCCGGGGGTCCTGCCCCCAGCTTCCTGCCTTTCACCACCCCCAGGCCCCGTGCGGAGGAAGGACAGGTGGAGCGTCTGAGGGGCAGGCGTGCAGCGGGCGGGGGCAGCGGGCAGGAGGGACAGAGACCCGTTCGCCCCGGACCCCCTTCTTTCCTCCCTTTCTTAAATTCTTTGGTGGTGTTGCTGTTCATTTTCTTTTCCGAGATATTTTTTTGAGGTTTTTTTCCCCCCATTTTGTATTTTACTGATATTACCAGGATAGTTTACTGTTTCTTGCTTTCTGCTTGCCGCACACACCAGGTAACACACACACCACACACACACACACACACCATGCTCATGAACCCCATGGGCGGGTCACACACACCACACACACACACACACCATGCTCGTGAACCCCATGGGCGGGTCACACACACACACACACACACAC